GAGGAGCAAATTTTCCTTCAAGTATGTTCTTTAAGGGTGTAAGATATAGTCACTCTGGCCAACTTTCGTCGATGGCAACCCTTGTGCTCAGTATTCGAAACTCACAGGCGCCAACGCGCCAAATGCGCCTAAAAAAAACATAGGTCATTGCGTCTAAAAAAGAAGGCTCTGCGCCAACGTGGCCCTTAAAAATTGCCCCTTTAAAATCTGAATATTCATATTAGGTGATCATTCGAAATTTTCAGCATTACAATTAGTGAGAGCTTTTTCTATTCTTCACGATTTCATCCTTAGTGCTTTTGTCTTCACCAAGTCACAGCTACCTACTAGTTTTGTTACAAAAACATCTAAATTTGCGTCTAATTTTTCACTAAATATGCCGTAATATATAGGCAAAAAGTCAATCTGGCCCCTAAAAAATCTTCAATGGCGCCTAAAATTCAGGCTTGATGCGCCCCATGGCTCCTAAAACTCCAAGGTGAGTTTGGAACACTGCTTGCGCTCATAGTGAAAACGAAATTTTTAGACTTTACTTGTTTTTCATCATTATTTAGATGGCGTCTGATTAGATCACAAATCTTAGAAATGTGTAATCTTATTAGGCGCAGTTTGAGGCTTTCATAGCGCAAATGTATCATAAAATGCAGAAAAATTACGCTTTCGTACCTTTAACACAACATACTTTCGAATTGTTGCATTTAACAAACCTGAAATTTGTTTGAAATTTTAACTCTGTTTGGACGCATTTCGAGGCTACCGTAACACAGAGCTTCATGAATTTCCGCAGAAAAACTTTTTTTTTACCTTAACACGAAATACTTTCGAATTGTTGCAATCATCAAATCTGGAAATTGTTTGAAATTTAAACTGTATTTAGACGCATTTTTTGACGAAAATTTTATAAAATACTAATCAAATGAACACTGTGGTTTCATTTAAGACTCTACATCAAAAGAGATAAATATCTTCGAAGGCCTCAAACTTTTTCTTTTCTCGTCTTTCCTCATCATCTTCTGTCTCCTCTTTCCTTCACTCTTTCCCCCTTTTTTTTTGCTTTCGGCGGGGAGGGGGGGGGTGGGGGGCTTGAGCCCCGTACCTGAAAGTGACATAGAACCCTGTGGGCATACCCGGGTGGTATTACCAACGGCAGGTGGACGGTAGAGTCGTGGGCTGCCCAGCGCATATTGCATCTGTCATCTAGTACCTCGCTCATTACAGATATGAGGCTGAACTAGAAAAACTAAGCGTTTGCTAGATGAATACGCGTCATTTCTCCAAAATTCTACAATGGTAGCCCCAAATGAGTTGTCTGATGGGAGGAACCTGATGAAGCGGCAACAGATGAGGAAGCGGTAAGGAGGCTAGGCAGGAGTGAACCAGGAAAACCAGAGTTTCCAATTATTTTTGGGAAGTAGAATTCTGATCGATCGCAGGCAATAAAAATGACGGAGGGCAGGGCTTGTCAGGGTGGGTAAAAAATCAGCATTGAGAACTCGTGATTCTGACACATGGCTTACTTTTTATTCGGATCCCAGATCACGGTCAATGTTTCAAAGTTGCATCTTCGTGCGTAAATATCACGTCAAATATTCGTAAAGGTACGGCAATTAAGACGCGGAATGCCGCCGCGGAATCGTACGCGGCGGACGCAAGGGAAATCTGTTACACGCGTTTCAATGGGAGCGGCAACTAAGGAGCGGAGCGACGCACGCCGTGGAGTCCGCGGCGTCACGGCGCGGCGATCTGTCGAGAACAGATCGGAGCGGAATCCCTCGGAGATTCCGCCTCGTCCGTCGAGGTTTTCGATGATTTTTCATGTCTACTTGCTGAAACGTGGATCGCGGTGGCAACACCAATGGAAAATTGCGGGCCATCGTGAATTATTGGATTCATGAAATAAAAATATGTTTGTAGCACGACATCAACGAATGGCATTCCTACCTCGTGCCAGGTGCAAATAATACGACACAAGTAGGTAAAAGAAACATGACACCTTTTTTCCAGGAGATAAATCTGTAAAAACAAAACGAACTAACTATTCTAGAGCTTGTCGGCACCTGAACAATTTATTTAGACGTTGCAATATCTATAGAGAAACCTAAACGACCAATTTGTTTTGAACATCGTGCCTGAAAGTAAAAAAATGCGTGTCTTTGCTTGCAATGTTGCAACTCTCTGCTCACGTTTCATTCGTTAATTTGAAACTGTTGATAGGAGGCTATCTTTGACTTTTTGTAAACATTTTTTTGCTCATTCAATAATATTTTTAGAAATTTTACAAACGGATATATTGGTTGGTATTCTCGTAAAAAATATTGGAGATTTTGAAACGTGGTGAGTGTTCATTGTACTTTGTAGTAAGGCAAAACACACACTCGCGAGTTATCATCAGATACTGATTTATGACGAGACTGCCGACGGACACGACGGAATTTTGGAGGCGATTCCGCTGCTTAGTTGCCGGGCACGGCGGAGCGGAAACTTACTCGACGCCTCGCTCGCTCGGGTCGTCCGCCGCGTACGATTCCGCGGCGGCATTCCGCGTCTTAATTGCCGTACCTTAAGATATTGGGTCGCCTACAAGCCCAAGATCATAAAAAAAACTTTACCTGCAAAAAATATGATCTATTTGCATCCCTGAATACAGTAATTTGAGTCCTACGTATTTATTTAATGCGCGTAATGCGAAATAATGGCTCAAATCTTGGGCCAACTCGGAATAATTTTCTCGATTTTTACCGATGATATGTGGCAATGCCGCGCCGCGATGGGAGTCTCTTTAGATAAGTACATGTAATGAACAAAATAATAATAGATAAATGCATGTGCATATTCACTAGTCATGTGATCGTTACGTATGAAAAATCAAAGGTTTTGAACTTTGCTGAATGAGCTCGACGAAGAACAGCCTCCAAATACTGAAATAATCACAAATAATTTTAGGCAACAAAATA